AACACTTCCAAAACCAGCTTGCAGGTGCCGTTGAACCGTGCAGGTGGCGCAACCAAGCTCAAGGAGGAGCTCGATGAAGATCGTGTTCGTTATGTTGTTCCGTTTTCAGTTGATCAGTAGTGGAGCCCAGTTGGGACGATCGGGGATCTATGTAGCATTTGGGGTAGTCTTCTTTTATTTTGGTTCCGTAGTCGGACCTTGAGTGTATCTGGATGATGTAATGTTATATTCATGTAATTGTGTGAAGTGGCGATTGTAAGCCAACTATGTATCTTTTCCCCTTATTTATTACATGGGTTGTTGTGAAGATTACCTCACTTGCGACATTGCTTTCAATGCGGTTATGCCTCTAAGTCGTGCTTCAACATGTGGGAGATATAGCCGCATCGAGGGCGTTATAGTCATTCCCTTTGTCATCAGTATGTCACTTGCCCGAAGTTCGATCGCTGGTATCTTCATACCTAGTTCAATATCGTTACCGGCAAGTCTCTTTACTCGTTCCGTGATACGTCTCCAACGTATCTATAATTTTTTATTGTTCCATGCTGTTATATTATCAATCTTGGATGTTTTATAATCATTTTATAGTCATTTTATATTATTTTTTGGTACTAACCTATTGACATAGTGCCAAGTGCCAGTTGCTGTTTTTTGCATGTTTTTTTACATCTCAGAAAATCAACACCAAACGGAGTCCAAATTTCACGAAACTTTACGGAGATTTTTTATGGCCCAAAAGACACCTAATGGGCCCTGGCTGTGCCTGGGGGGTGCTCCGAGGAGAGCACAACCCACCGGGGCGCACCCTGGTGGGTTGTGCCCACCTCGGGTGCCTCCGGACCGCCTCTTTGCTCTATAAATATCCCAACATTCCCAAAACCCTAGGGGAGTCGACGAAATATTGATCCAGCCGCTGCGGAGTCCAGAACCACCAGATCCAGTCTAGACACCATCTGGGATGGGGTTCACCGCCTCCATTGGTGCCTCTCCGATGATGCGTGAGTAGTTCTTTGTAGACCTTTGGGTCCGTAGTTAGTAGCTAGATGTCTTCCTCTCTCTCACTGAATTCTCAATACAATGGTCTCTTGGAGATCCATATGATGTAACTCTTTTAGCGGTGTGTTTGCTGGGATCTGATGAACTTTGAGTTTATGATCAGTTATATCTTTTTATATCCATGAAAGTATTTGAGTTTCTTTGATCTCTTTTATGCATGATCTCTTATAGCCTCGCATTTCTTCTCCGATATTTGGGTTTTGCTTGGCTAACTTGATCTATTTATCTTGCAATGGGAAGATGTGCTTTGTAGTGGGTTCGATCTTACGGTGTTTGATCCCAGTGACAGAAGGGGAACAGACACATATGTATCGTTGCTACTAAGGATAAAACGATGGGGTCTATCTCTACATAGATATATCTTGTCTACATCATGTCATCGTTCTTATTGCATTACTCCATTTCTCCATGAACTTAATACACTAGATGCATGTTGGATAGCGGTCGATGTGTGGAGTAATAGTAGTAGATGCAGGCATGAGTCGGTCTACTAATCTTGGATGTGATGCCTATATAATGCTCATTGCCTGGATATCGTCATGATTATTTGAAGTTCTATCAATTGCCCAACAGTAATTTGTTCACCCACCGTTTGCTATTTTTCTCGAGAGAAGCCACTAGTGAAACCTACGGCCCTCGGGTCTCTTTCTCATATATTTGCCTTTGTGATCTACTTTTCCTTTGCATTTATTTTCAGATCTATTAAACCAAAAATACAAAAAATACTTTACTACACTTTATTTTATTTGCGATCTATTTATTCAATCTATTACAACTTTCTTCCGTCCACGCACCAATTTCTAGCGCCGTTACCCGAAAGGGGTTGACAGCCCCTTTAACACGTCGGGTTGCGAGTGGTTGTTATTTGTGTGCAGGGGCTGTTTACATTGTGTGGCTTGGTTCTCCTACTGGTTCGATAACCTTGGTTTCATCACTGAGGGAAATACCTACCGTCGCTGTGCTGCATCATCCCTTCCTCTTTGGGGAAATATCGACGTAGTCCTAGCCGACATCATTCCGTAAATGCATCATCCTGCAACTAACTCATTAGTTACATTGCTTGCAAGGCTTATCATGATGTGCATTACCGAGAGGGCCCAGAGATACCTCTCCGATACTCGGAGTGACAAATCCTAATCTCGATCTATGCCAATCCAACAAACACCTTCGGAGATACCTGTAGATCATCTTTATAATCACCCAGTTACATTGTGACGTTGGATAGCACACAAGGTATTCCTCCGGTATCCGGGAGTTGCATAATCTCATAGTCAAAGGAATATGTATAAGTCATGAAGAAAGCAATAGCAATAAAACGTAATGATCATTATGCTAAGCTAACGGATGGGTCTTGTCCATCACATAATTCCCCTAATGATGTGACCCCATTCATCAAATGACAACACATGTCTATGGTTAGGAAACTTAACCATCTTTGATTAACAAGCTAGTGTAGTAGAGGCATACTAGGGACATTGTGTTTTGTCTATGTATTCAAACATGTATCAAGTTTCCGGTTAATACAATTCTAGCATGAATAATAAACATTTATCATGATATAAGGAAATATAAATAACAACTTTATTATTGCCTCTAGGGCATATTTCCTTCAAAAGAATGCTAGGAAATTAGTGGAATGTTCAACACATTTCTGCCTCAAATCTACATACTCAAAGATCTGAACCACGCGTTCAGAACATTTGCAACACATTGCAAATAACCTGCCAGATTCATTCCTACAATGCTGCAAACAAAATGCGCGAAAGAATGAAGGTACCAAAACAATCCACTCCACTCCCCGTTCGAAGCAACAGGGGGATATGTATGGCAAAAGTACATCAGGATTCAGCTTCTTGCAAGCAAGGATATAGAGGCCTCTGAAACATTAAATGCAAGTCAACTTCACGTTGACAGACACCCAATGGGCAGTATACATCCAATGGACGGGAAACCTCCAGCAACCTAGGTTATAGTGCACACAATGACCGGGACATCAGTATACCAGACTCAACCGCATTGGGAAATCATGGGGCAGTCACCATGAGTAATGATATTTCCATTAACTATATATACATATATAGATTCTGGAGAAACATATAATTGAAAGTCTACAATTGTCGACATACATTTCTCAACTAGATTGCCTTTCAAATGATTCATATCCAAAGACCATGGCCATGGCAAAGTGTGAACAATACTCAGACTGAACTCGGGCAAAGCATATAACCTAGGTAGAAATAATCTTGCTCAATAAAGGGAAGGTATTCACATAAGCAATGCCTACACTAGTTTTCTTCTGGAAACAGAATTAAGAACAACAAGGTGGTGAAACATAGAGCAAGTATTATAGCACATGGGTTCACGCAGATACCCAACTATTCTCCAGAGGTGGAATCTCATTCCGATAACTTATATCATTGGCAGTACAAAATCATCTATCTATGCAGTTGATAGATGTAGTGATTACATATCCATGTGGGTCACTAGATTCGGACATAGATGGTTCCGTTGGAACCTCACTTCCGAATCGAAATGCAAAACACAACATACATTGTGTAAAATCAGTAAGTCACTATACGGCTTATTGTTGTCGATATATTTTCGTACAACCGACGTAGTGAGTTCCTTATTCACAAAGATTACTCCTACACTGATGATTACCCATACATGTTAAGCATGTGACCATCTAAGTGACGGAATTTGAGATGAAGGATTTAGGTAAAACCTCGAGCATCTTCACTCATACATTATGGTACACCATGTTGTCTATATCCAGATTATATTGGAGAACTTGATTGTGGACAAGTCTTATCCATCAATATTTTTCATGGTTATTCATTCTCTAGACATAGAGAAAGATTCATCTAGACCATGAGGAGATGGAAATAAGATGTTGGGACCTAAGGTTCCGCATCACAGTGCATGCATTGGATTCACCAAACACAATTGGTTGAGGCTCAAGAATATCTCCAATGCATCAAACATCCTAATCTTTCATTTTCAGAGAAATCTGGATACCAATATCGTTGGATACATCGATCAGATCCCTACCATGTGAGCTCGTAGACAAGCTTTGTGTTCCTACTAGGTGTGGTAGCCATCCCATGAAAGTCTTCGAAACAGACATGGCCACATCTACCAACCATTATCTCTAAGATAATGTTGCTTGTGTTGCCGGATGCAAACATGTTACATAATAAGCAATATCACTATATTGTCCATCTTGCAAGTCAAATCATGCGACAACCTTGCTGATTTATTCATGAAGTCTATACCATCTACAACATTCCAAAACATGTTCATGGAATTGGTATTCGACGGCTTTGATGTTTGCAAGAATCAGGGGGAGGGGGAGGTATCTTCTTGAATTGTTCATGTTCAATGCATCATATTATACTCTTTTTCCTTTCACGAGTTTACTTTTACAGGTTCTCATCAAGTTTTTTAATGAGGTAATATCAACACAAGATCATATGTCATACTTTCTGTTTTCCCCACCTATTGTCCTCTAAATTTTATGAGTTTCTCATATTGAGTTGAAAGAGACAATAACCATTATATGTTGCATCATTTTCTCCTTATTTTTCCATCAGTTTGAAGGAGTTTTAGCAACATATCAAACACCTATCTCCTCACATTTTCCCACAAGATTTTTGAAGGAGAATTTGTCAAGATGATAATGTCTACAAGGATATCGTAGATTAGGGGGGGTGTTGAGATTTAGTTAACCCAGGTGTTAATTAAGGAGGATCTCCACTATCCCTAACCGCCATGCACAAGGGACGCGACTGTTCGCTGGCGTCAGTCCGAACCATTGCGTCTGTTTGATGCATCCCCTCGGGGCAAAAATTCATGTTTTGACCCTTTTTTCTGAAAGTTAATCGAGATCTGACCCTAGTTTGCAAAAAAATTGGGATCTGACCCTTTTGCTACTGTCAGGGTCCATGGCGGTAGGATGTAACAGCCTACCACCAGGGGCCTTAGCGGTAGGAAACATCCCTACCGCCAAACAGGCTGGCGGTAGTTTGTACAACCCTACCGCCAAAGTGCCCGATGATAGGCGCGAGCACGAACTGTGTTTCATATTTAGAAGGAATTTACGGTAGGGCATGCAATCCTACCGCCGAGGACCTTGGGGGTAGGCTGTTATAACCTACCGCCATGGATCCTGGCAGTAAGAAAAGGATCAGATCTGGAAAAAATTTCAAGGCAGGGTCAGATCTAGGTTAAGTTTCGCAAAGGGGTTAAAACACGAAATTTAGCCTCCCCTCGAGGCATATATGTGTAATCAATCATCAATAAAGACGACTGTTCATTTTTATATCCGTGCGTCTTGCCTCCAGTTTTATATATTATGTTAAAACAACACCTGAGAGCGTAAGATCAAGATCCTGTGGCTTAGAAGGGTGTGTGTGCTCGGGATGCACTTTTTAGAATTTATTAAGGGTGATTTTTTACCTAGACGGGCATACGTGTTGTCTGGCTGATGACCTGTTCCTGAATGAAAGACGGAAACAAACGGAACCCGTTTCCGCAAAGAGCAAGCGTAATAGCTTGAGACGCTTCCATCAACTGCCACACCATCGGTTTGGTACTAGCGGAAAGAGATAGGAAGAAAGAAAAAACAGGAAGAGACCCTACGGCCACCTTCAGTCGCATCGCGCGGACAACGAGATCCCGGCGGCCGGGTCACCGACGGCGGCATCCAGGAGCGTGCCAAGCGCGCCCCGAGATCTCGCTGATCGTCGTCCTCGTCCGCGCCGGGGGATTTCCAAGCCCGTCGTTGCCGCTGGTCGGGGTCGCTGACCCCTTCCACGGGCGGCGGCGCCCCAAATCGATTACGGCGCGCGGGGCGGCGGTCGACTGATTCCTGCGGGAGAGAGGAGGAGGCCGTTCTCGTTGGCGTCGTCGCCACCGTCGTTCCCGTTCTTCCTCATCGAGTTCCTGCCATATCTACTCCGTCTACAATCTTTGGCGATTGGGTTTTGAGGTATGAGCATGTTTTCATCCAGTGATTTGTTAAACCCCACTTGCCTCCATAATTTCTGGGTGTGTCCGTGCCATCTAGATCCGCCCCGCGCTAATCACTGCCTATTATTGCTGTCTCACAGGGAAGGAAGGTGATTGGATCGAAATTTATGATTCATATGATTTATATATTGATGATCGCACATCCTGATATGTTTGCAACCCAGTGAATTTCGTTGAGCACTATACTTGTGTTGACTGTGATTGGGCAAATTCTGCATTAGAATTTTGCTGATAAAATTGGACATCAATTGGCTGCAAATTATGGAGCACCTCCCGGTAGAAGTTATTGGCAACATCCTTGCACATCTTAGTGCTGCACGAGATGTCATGGTTTCCTCTGCGGTTTGCCGGAAGTGGCGGGAGGCCTGCAGGAAGCATCTCCATTCACTGTCCTTCAATTCAGACGACTTTCCTCGGGACATGACCACACGTCAACTGGAGATCATCATCACACAGACTATATTTCAGACGATGGGACTGCAATGCCTCTCTATTCACATAGATAACACACATGAGTTCTCTGCAGCACCTGTGATTGCATGGCTAATGTATACCAGGGAGACGCTCCGGTGCCTGTATTACAACATCCAAACCAACCCTAATGTAAACATCCTGGAGAAGTGTGGGAGACAGAAGCTGGAGGTGTTGGATTTGGACCATAACACAATCACCGGTGTTGAACCAAGCTACCAGAGGTTCACTTGTCTTAAATCCCTTTATTTGAGGCATGTGAGCATTTCTGCCCTGGATTTGAGCCTTCTAGTTGCTGCTTGCCCCAAGATCGAGTCACTAGCACTTGATGTCCTTGAGATTGTCACTTCTGATTCGCAGTCTACAATGGAATTAACAAGTCATACCTTGAAAAGCATCTTCGTAAAAACAGTTGGCGTGGATAAGATCATACTCGATGCAGATAATCTGGAGGTCCTGCACCTGAATGCTTTGAACCTTGATCTGTTTGAGCTCTCTGGGAAGGGTACACTAAAGCATCTCAAGATTGATGACGTGAGTGTTACACATTTGGATATTGGGGAGAGTACAGATCATCTGGAGGTTGTGGATGTGAGTAACTTTATGATAGTCTGGCCAAAGTTCTACAATATGATATCTAGAGCATGCAACTTGCGGATGCTACGTTTCTGGGGTGTTGCGTTTGATGATGATGATGAGATTGTGGACTTGGAGACTGTTGCTGTTGCATTTCCTCTTCTAAGGCATCTTTCACTAAGTTATGAATTACGAGATGGGCTACTGCAAGGATTGTCACCACTGGAGAATGTTTCGGTTCTGGAACTTGGTTGGACAGTAATAAGTGAGCACTTTGGACCCTGGGTGTTTGGAATGATTGAAAGGTGTCCAAATCTCAAGAAACTTGTCATTCATGGTGTTCTTTCTGAGGCAAAAACACGCGAAGAGCGCAAGATGTTGGCAACCTTTACCTCTTTTATTGTTTGTCTCATGAGAAAGTATGTGCATGTGGATGTGCAATTTGAGTATGAGTGATCAGCCACTAGGTCGAGTGGGCATTCATTATCCTTGTTCAGTGCAACTCTTGCAATCAGGTAATCTTTTGGGGGTTTTGGACTTCGGTGTATTCTAGCACAGCCTCATTGCAACTCTACTTTCTGCAATTTCTTTCTTTTTTAAATGCCTTATAGAAATGTCTCATCTTTGGCTATCTTCGTGTAAAATTAATCTTGGTTGGTGCTATTATATGTTGCATATTTTGGTGCTGCCTTGTCAATTTGTTTATCTAAATAATTACTCTGTGAAGTCTTGGTTCCTCACCCGTCACATGAGTCGAGGAAAACTTTGGAACCTTCAGAATCATGCTGTGTTGAAACAAAGTTAATGTATATATTACAAATAGGTACAACATAACCGGCTTCTTCAGCTCCTGTTGAGAGTGATATAGTTGTAGCTGTTGGCATATGTTGTTATGGAACTCTGCTATCCATGTAGTCATCAATGGTTACTTGAACACCCATATAATAGAGAGGCTGCCTTTTCACATTTCCACTTCCTTGCGCATATCTGCCTCAATACGAGGGCATTGTTTTGCGGTATAATCTGCTCACCTGTAGCATTCAGATTTGTATTGTGTCTCATGATAGAATATTAAATTGCAACACATGCTTCCAGAGAATTAACTAATCCCTTATAAGCTATAACATGTCATAGCTAATTTGTTGATGTAGTAAATGGTGTGTGTGTGTGTGTGTGTGTGTTTACCATTTTGGAGATAAAAGAAAGTTTTTCTACCTTCACATTAAGTTTGTATATTATGTAGACAAATACTACCCTTTGAAGAGATGAGAAAGTATCTGTCTATCCGAGATCTTGAAAGTTTGATGTAATTACGTGCTGATACATTAGTAACTAGCAAACAGCTATAAAATTCAGTACGCATGCACTTATGCTCTTTCCATTCGGTAAATCTTGCCCATGACGTCCTTACACTTGAGTACCTATACTAGCTTATGTTTGTTACTTTGTTTTAATGCTCAATGCTACACCGGTAGGGGTAGAGGGCTTTGAATAGATGTTAGTCAGTTCAATCAGTGTAAGCTGATTTTTATCACAGAAGAGCCTCGGGAGGGACATGACATACAATCAAGTTTATGGATTTTTTAAGCTTTGACTAGTTCTGCATTTAACAAGTCCACTTCAGTTTACCATATGTGAAGATGTACAACTACTTTCAAAGTTTTTGGAGCTTTAGAGCTTGTGTTCTGATTTTCCATGTCGTGAACTATTTGCTACCTTCTGGTTGCTCACCCTACCTTCCATGGGAAAAACGGCAATCTGCTCAGTTTATGATTACACATACATGGAAGGTAGGGTGAGCAACCAGAAGGTAGGGTGAATACTGACAGACACTGCTTTAAACTGAATATAAGAAATATTGTATTTGGTCATTTGATGCTACGGTATCTTGCTTAACAGACAGGAAGACTTTTATGTATATTCAGAACCAAATCGCCTAGGAACCACAAATTATTGACCTGATATTTTGGTTTAAGCTGCAGCGATGCAATATCTCACTCTGAGTAATATTGAGTACGATATTGCTGTATTTGGGATGCAATATTAGGTTTATGGTATCTAGTCCATATGCGTCTGCTGTCAACTCTGATAAGATCGCATGCTTTGCATGGCCCAGGATCAGTACCTGGAGCTTATTGGCTTTGTCTAACCTGTGAATGTGCTCGATAGCTAACTATAATTTCTTTTTTAGCTTCTATACTGTCCGTGCAATAGTAAGTTCTATTTAATACCAGGCAAACCATTGCTCTTCTTGAGCAGCTCACTAATATATGCTATTATATCCACTTGTCAGTAAAGCACGTAGTTCCTGCCAGAACTGTTTTTTTAGAATCATGTTAGATCTGTTTGAACAGTAGTTGTTTTGTTTAAACACAATGCCATGGTGTAAACAAGTTAAGGTAAAGTGTCATTTGGATGTAGCTAAGAACTAGATAATTTGTACTAGCATAGTCACGTGCATAGTTATGTTATGCACGCCCAAAGATATATGTATATTGTAATGTTATTGTTTCAAGGAGATGTGCTGTTTTATTTTAGAATGACATTGGGAATTGATCACCTAATGAATTAATGGTTTTATGGGATTTAGGAATAACAAGCGATTCGTGTGTCTACTTTTGTGAACAATCAATATGCCAATTCAGTAAAAAGGGAAACCATTAGGTTATGTCAGATTCTAGCCATCTTTCGTGGTAACATGTTCCTGAAGCACTGATTCTGTAAGGAAACGGTGGCAGACAAACCAACGTTATCTTGTTTTTACCTTCACCCTTCTCTAAAGGATTAGTAGCTTCCTAGCCTAGATCTCTTATTACTGCCTGCTGTCAACTGTGTTGTGCTGTTTCACTTATTAACCATGTACCTGGAATCTAGCAGCTCCTAGATGAACTATTCTGTGACAGTTCTAGGCTTCTATCATTGCTTCACTTTTTTAAATACTTTGCTTTCTTATGATTTTTGTAGCAACATCACCTCATTGTTTCGACTTAAATACAACAGGATAAACTGATAGATCAAAGTTTTGTTCTTGTATTAATCTAATCTAGTAGTGTTAGAGCCTCTATCATCATGCAGTGCAACATAGATAAATTTATGCCTAATGCATTCGATGCATCTTGCAGCTTTGCTTCTGATCCTACTTCATGACGAGCATATATTTATATAATTGGCAGCTGCTGTACCACCGGACATGGTTAAAGAAAGCTTGAGACCACCTATTCACAGAATTGCAGATTCCTGTATTTGCCCATCGCATTATAGCACGGACGGCAGAACGAGATGCGATTCCTTTTTCTGAGAAACCCTCTCCCTCTCCCCTGCTTCATTTGTTCAGCTGTAGTGGAATGATTCAGTTGAGATTTAAGTGCACATCATGTCAAACATCTTTTGGATATTCATGAGATTAGAATTCGGTTCGAGATTCTCTTGATATGTGCTGCCAGAGTGCAAGTTTTTGTAAACTATACCATTAAAAGCTTACAGTTGCATGCCCTTAGTGGACCTTCTCCTCAGAAATGGGTATCCGGTGTCCGCTGTGCCACTTTTTATGTCTTGATATTCCTTGCCCAGGGTGATCTCCACTGCATGGCAGCATCACTGCCTAATCTTTATCACCCAAGCTGAGTGTTATAATACCTGAGGGTAGCATCTCTGCTATTATTCCATCTGAACTTAAATTCTATTTACAGTTCTTTACTACTATAACAGAACCATATTCGGCGCGGCGATCATATCAAACGGGGGCTCCGGGCTGGCTTGCCAAATTGACATTCCTTTCTGTAAACACGGCTCCACTTGCCATATGCGCTTTCCCTTTCTTATAGTATTAACAAAATGAAGGGCTGATTTGGTTGATTGGTTTAGTTCAGCAAATGAACAAAACTTTGAAGAAATTCATATGTAATACTTACTTTGATTCTGTTATTTCTTTTGGCGGCATCAAGTGTCTGCTTGCACCCCTTCATATCTTCATATTTTAAGTGCCCTTCATATCTTCATATTTTAATGGCCCTTCATATCTTCATTAGTGCTAAACTAACAATTGGGTGGTTATAAGGCGAGGAACTCATGGTAGCCAAACGTATCCGAATGCGGCGGATTAGTCAGCTGAAGCACGGAGTGAAATGAAATAAACAAAAGGTTGGACCTGTTCCGTGAAATACTACGCAACCGCGGACACGATCAATCAGAAAGTTCAGATCATTGACTTTTCTGCTGCTGCTGCTGCTGCCCTTGCTTTCAAATTAAAGTTGGGAGGTGAGACTTTCGTATTATCTTGGATCGCTAGAGTTTATATTTATATAGCGTCCCTTTTCGTTCTCAAGTGGATAAAAAATCTGAAGCCGTGGAAGCAAGCATCTGCATCTTTGTTAAAGGTACACCTCTCCCTGAAAAAAAGAGATAATCTCAAAGCCACTTAACTAAAAATGCGGTTTATCAGTCTAAGCAATCTTAACCCTTGCCGTGTCTATATAAGTGAAACGAACCGCGTCGCCTTTCCAAACGAAAGAGGGTATGTCACATCTAACCTGATGTCCACTATATTTTTTCTATCTCAGTTTTTTTTTATTCCTTGTTGCTGCGTTATTTGTGGGAGCTTAGATGCGATATTCTTAAAAAATATCTAAATGTGAACTAGACCAACTGAAACAAAAATGCCACAAGAAAAACAAATGGTGCTAGTACAATCGAAGAGCTGGCTTTCTGAATTTCAAAAGTAAAAAAAGAGAGATAGAGAGATAGAGCTGGCTTTCTGCGACGCGTCGTTTTTACCTCAGTGATTTACCACGGTAGCACGGCGGAAGAAAATGAAGAACCGTTCGCCAGAACATGGATGCCAGTTCACTTGGCGATCTGCCTGTACATTCTCCCCTCTTAAAACAAAAAAAAACTGCGACGACTTGACACTTGCTACAGGCCCAGCCCATCCTTCCCAAGAGATCTATCAATCAAACCTACCGAATCTCTCTCAAAATAAAATACTCCAACTGCTGACCTTGGCTAGTACAGTACGTACTGGAGTCCATATTTCTTTTCCTAGGCCGTGTACTGTTCCGTATTTCGCTGGAGTGGACCGGGCAGTGGGCAGGCTCCGGCACATGAACCAGAGACTCTTTCTCATCTCACCTTTGACCAACTCTAAGCTAGTGTATAACAAGACTTTTTTTCACAATGTACCACAACAAGACTTCAGGGTGAGAGATAAAAAAGTTTAGAACCCTTATATCCATCTCAAACGCCCGGGCAGGCCGTCCGGTCAGTGACCGGCCACAAAAACGCAACCCAACCATATCCTTCATATCCGTCTCAAACGTCCAGACTAACCGGCACCCCTCATATCCATCTCAAATATGAGGACGATATGAGGGCTCGCGGACGCGCCCGGACACGCTCGGTCAGTCCGCCACGTATGACGCGACCCCACCCCGGACCACCTTTTCTCTTTCTTTATTCATTTTTTCTTTCTCTCTCTTCTTCTCCACCAATCATGTACAAATGACCGGACATATGAAAAAAAAAGAAGTGTGGCTTCACGGACGAAAAAATAAGGGCTCAAAACAAACACGCCCGGTCACTAACCGGGTGCGGGTCAAATTAAAGGTACGTGGCTGAAGATGCTCTTACTGCTCTCTCTGTTTCATATTGGTTGTCACTGATTTAGTATAAAACGTACTAAATCAACGACAACTAATACGAAACGAAGGGAATAGCAATTTGTGGCCAACGAGTATGAACGCATCTTCTCTCCATCGTCGCCGCGCCACGAAAACTTCTTTTGTTTTTGCTCGAGGCGCCACGAACACGTTGCGCCATTGAAGGCCCTACTGGAGGCAAAGAGGATTAAGCACTAGCAGCATCTAGCCAGCTCGCAACTTGGCCTCTCAGATCAACCTAAACAAACCTGGCCACCAATCAGGTCGCAACAAGTGTCCTCTGCCCCCTACCAAAGCTAGAGCGATCCACAACGTCTATCTCAGGGGGGTGCAAAGGCTCTCCTCAAGATCGAACAAACATATAGGAAAGAATCTTCCCAATATGTATTTGGCGCATGACGAGGCACCGATGCCGACCCACGGATTGAAGAATCGGAAACGCACGGGGAAGACAAAGTCCCCAAACCAGCCCATTTTCCACGCGCCCCCGAAACTGAATTCCATGTTGAAGGTTTCTTTTTTCTCTCCCACACTGGATCGGTGGTGCACCATATCTGATATGTTTATGCCCGGTGGTGCCATGGTTAGGAGTGGCCGCGCGAGTAAACTAGAATACTACTCTCTCCGTTCCGAATTACTTGTTTTAGATTTGTCTAGATACGGAGGTATCTAGCACTAAAATGAGTCTAGATACATCCGTATCTAGACAAATCCAAGACAAGTAATTCGAAACGAAGGGAGTACAATTGTTGGTGATATGTGGAGGGGGAGAACATATGGTTGACAAATCAGCCCCCCTCTCTGCTTTCAGGTTTCAAGAGAAGAGACGGGAAGGAGAGGTGGATGGAGGGGTGGAACAACTTCTCAAGCCCCCCTCTCTTTTAAAAAGCTTGTGAGCCTTTTCTCCTCTCTATTATTCCTTTTCGGAAACGATTTTTCTCTCTCTATTCATTGCCCCTTTTGGTCGAGTACTTGCCGTCTCAGAGGAGCGCGGCCAATGGGGGGCGAAAGGTGGTTGCGAGGAGTGGAGCAGGAGACAGAAACGCTGACAGCAAAGGCCTACCACACACACACCCCCCTCTCTCTCTCTAACCCTCTCCAGCAGCTCTCTCTTCCCTCTCTATCTATACCCTCTCTCTCCATCACACACACAGACACACAACTCTCTCTCTCTGGCCTAGGGTGTGATGTGAGTGTGAGGAAAAAGAAAGACAGGGTCGTGGGACGTGTTGAAGAGGACAAGATCTTCTTTGCAGTACAGTGGACGAAATCCCAAGGCGGATTCAATTC